TGTCATATAATATGAAGTGTTTCTCAGGAAAAAAGATTAGATTCTATACAGAATTTGTCATTTGGTTTCTTATATAATTACCAACTCTTCAGTCAATACTTTCAGTCTTTTAAAAGCAAATATTAATTCAATTGTCAGTAAATAACTAACAAAAAAGTTATTTAAAATGAAATTTGGGTTAATATTAGCCCTGATTTCGATCGGGGTTTTGATCGAAGCTAAAAGAGGTAAACTATAAATAATAGAATCTTTATGAAATTAATTCAAAATAATCATCATGAACAAATGAAATTCATTACGTTTTCTACAAAACCAGAGCCAAAGTTTGCGCCATATATTGACGTCACGGCAGCGAAAGACTTCAAATTAGTTGATCTGAAGAATAAATATGGTGTAAAAGCGGTTTCATTGGCCTTTGCTTTGGGTGGGACTGCGGGCTGTGTGCCGATGTGGGGCGGACAGACTCCTATAGACGACCCAAACATAATCAATGAGATTAAGGCGTTTAGAGCGGCCGGCGGTGATGTCATTGTCTCCACCGGCGGTGCTTTGAATCCCTATTTAGAGACGTCTTGCGGTTCGCCCGCGGCGTTGGCCGCCGCTTACCAAAGAGCCCTATCGGTGACCGGCTCTTCCCATCTGGACATTGACATCGAGGCCACTGTTCCGACAGATCTGATGAACAAAGGCCTGTTAGCCGTTCAGAAGGCGAGGTCTGAAGTGACGGTAAGCTATACTCTTATGGTTCAGGGGGACGACTACGGGGTGACCGACGAACTCGGGTTCAAAGTATTGCAAAACGCGGCCCAAAACGGCGTAAACGTCGATATCGTAAACCCGATGACTATGGAGTTCGGGACTCGACTGGCCTCGTGGGGCGACGCCGTGATCGCCGCCGCGGAATCCACTCACTCGCAGATGAAGAGAGTGTGGCCGCAGAAGAGTGACCAGGAGTTGTACTCAATGCTTGGCGTCACGCCTATGATTGGCCGCAATTTTAACGGCAAAGAGTTTCTGCCGGCGCACGCAAAACAGTTGGTCGCGTGGGCTAAACAGAAACAGGTCGGACACCTGGCCTTCTGGTCGCTCAACAGAGACCGCGGCTGTCCGGGCGGTGGTGTCAGTCCGTCGTGTTCTGGCATCGCT